AGGTAGAAACACTCACTCACACATCACAAGTTAACAAAATATTTTCGCGATCGTGCAGCTACGAAAATAGGAATGTTTCGAAAATTCTTGCCCTGACGTCATCAGTTCGTGACGTCACGAGGCATGCAAGCGACAGGACTAAACCTACTAATTGAAACCTACCAGTTTTAATTTGCAAAGTTTTTTTTATTTAGATTGATTTTCACGTTTGCATATAAATAGATTTTATTTTGATTTCTTGTTAGAAAAAAAACATAATTTTTTAATATTTAAACAATTTTGAGAAAATTTTAATTTTTTAATAATTTATTTCAAAGAGTTGAAATATAACATCCTACGTTTAAAGTGATTCATAAACCAATGATAATTGATGCCAGTTTCAGACGCAATGTTGAAATTAATGGCGGTAATACATGCACGTCTTACAAGAGGCTCGTGCGGCATGCATATGACGTCACGATGACATCATAATGTCAATTAGATCATGCACTCGTCGTAAACACTTCGTGCAGGGATTTGACCGGGGAAGCTGGTACTTAGCTGACGTTTCTAACGTTTATAATAATAATAATAGTAATAATAATAATAACAATAATAATAATTACTACTACTACTACTACTACTAATAATAATAACAATAATAATAATTATAGTAATAATGATAATAATAATTATTATTGTTATTATTATTGTGTTGTTATTATTATTATTATTATTCCTATCTGACGTCTTTTGAAAAATTATAATTTTGACGAAAATATCGTCATCGATATATCGTCTGGTTTCGTCATAGTTTTGTAACAGATTAAATACAAAAGCACAAAACATCAGTAGAACTATACATAAATAAATGAATATAGATTAAAATTAAATATTACGAAAAATCTTTCAGATGTGGTTTTTAGGATAAGAATTAACCAACTGTGAGAAATTGAAACTACTTGATAAATGATCTTTTGATTCATCATGTCAACTTTTTAAGAATTTTTTGCTATTAAAGAACAACAACTAACTACTATGTGATTGTAATTAATTTTATAAATTTAACGCAAATTTTTATAAAGAATGTTTCTTAGGAACTACTTCTTTAAACATCTTTCGCTACACTTCCTTATTGATATTGTTTTCTATAAAGATATAACTTATATTTTACAACGATGAAGATGAACAGGGCATAGTTGAATGTAAAATATAGTCTGCAGCACATTTTTGTATATATAAATAAAAATTATCACCATTCCATTAGAAAATTTAAACAGAGACACTTTAGAGAGGAGATATTTAAAAATTGGAAGAAATAATTTTGACACGGCTGATTGATTTTGATGGAGTGTCGGTTGATTTGATTGATTTTCTCAATTGAATGATTGGCTGGTTGGTTGGTTGATTGATGGATTTTCAAGCTGGTTGGCTCGATTGATTAGCGTGAAGCTGACCAATCAATCAATCAACCAATCATTCAACCAATTCAGTTAGTCAATTAATCAATCAACTATTTGTTTAACCAATCATTCAACCAATTTATTTAATCAATCAGTCAATCAATAAATCAATCAACCAATCATTCAATCTACCTATGGATTAGTCAATCAGTTGAGAAGAAATTAACGATGACTCGAAGGAGAAATATTGCGCAATTAACTATTTAACAAGAAAGTTAATTTATAAAACCATTTTATGTTATTTCCGTCATGAAGTTAATAACTAAAACATTGCCATTCCCATCACAACCACCGCACGAGTGATTTGTGAAAAATAAACAATAAAAGAAAGAATATAATGCTTCTCATTCGTCATAGTTAACATCTAAAACGTTACGGAAATTTTCCATTGCCATCACAATTTTAAATTCATACCTTTGTTATACCTGCATATATCATCATCACGATTAAATTATTTTTCGGCGTTGACTATTTTCATCACCATTACTATTCTCATCCCATCGTCATCATCATTATCGCCATCATCGTCATCATCATAGTCATCATCATAGTCATCATCACCATCATTGTCATCTATCAACCAGTCACCAATTAACACATCAATTGATAGATTTGTTGAGTTGACAAATGATAAAAGGCAAATCTGTTTAGAGTTTCAACAAAATAGCCGAACGACCGGCGATTACAAATCATCATGCTGCAACATTGTAGACACAAAAACTCCAAAAACAGACCAGAAAAAACAAGTCAAACAAATTGAAATCACACGATTCTCAAAACTGCATGATCAAATAAAATGCAACACGCAGTGGAGATGAGGTGATTTAGCATATGACAGATACAACATTGTAACGAGGTGATGCAACAAACTGTTACACGATCAATCCCAGCACTGCATTGCAAGGAACACTGTGCAACATACACACATACAAACATAAATAGACACCTACAGTTACGTAGCAGATCAGCCCAACATACAATATACAACAGTAATAGTAATAGTAATAATAATAACAATAATTAACCTTATTATTATTAATCATATTTATAGCACAATGCACGCGAAGTAGCTGCAACTAACTTAGAACAATAAAGACAGCACGGAATTAGCAGATAGCAGCTCATAAACAGATGACCGCAATATGAAATCGCTGATGATCATGGTTCTGAGAGCCAATTGACGAATGTACAGTACGTGACTGATATGCAAGACATGCCTGCATACACGCACACGATAATATATTAATACATTTTCATGAATTCATGTTATGCTTTGATATAATAAATCAATACACGTTTAATGGAATGCATGTAGGAAAGGGGCTGATGAATTTAATGAATGAGTCTACACATTCAGTGCATGTGTAAAGGTGAATTAATAATTCTGAAGACACGCAAGTACACAAGCCACCATGTAAGAATATGTTTATGTATCAATTGTGGGCGTCTTGTCATGTAACAGTTCATCATTCTATTTTCTCTCGCAACATTTTCCAGTATTTTCTTTAAAAACTGATAGATGTTAATCTAAGTCCAAGTGAAATAAATCGTTTTTAATCGACGGTTTTAAGGTTAGTTCAAATCAATCTCACACAAACTTAGAGCAATTCTTAAATATTGTTAAAAATCTTTCAATCATCTATATAATTAAGATATGGAATAAAAATAAAATAGGTTTGAAACAAAAACGTAAATAACAAAGTTTCAAAATTTGCAGTATAATAACTAAAAGTAAATCTACGAAAAGCTATAAAGATCTAACCCGAGGCCAAGTGTTACGGATTCAAATATGAATGTGATCACGCAGATTCTGCTGGGTTCCGATCAGTTAAAGTGACGTCTCAATACAGACATTGAATTTGTATATAAAAAGAAATAAATAAAATAATTCAAATTAGGTTTTTTCTTAAATATTTGTTTATATTTAAAAATTGTTTTTTGTTATGATGGTTTTATTATTGGTAAAACCATTTTACAGAATCAAAATAAAATAATATACAAATAATTTAAAAAATTGAGATTCCCCGTTAATTCTTCAATCAAAAGTTGTTTTGGCTCATCATATCTAGCTTTGAAACTTATTGAAGAGAAAATAAAAAAATATCAAATGAAGAGTTTTAAAAATTAGCATATATTTCATGTTTAAATGTTAAAAATTACTATAAAAAAGTTGCTATATGATCACATGACGAATGCATAACAGAGCAAACAAGGTGGCCCAAATGTGTTCTTAAACGCTGGCTCACATCGATGTGATCTAAAATTAATTTTAAATTTGGAAAGTTTTTTCCTTACAATAATTATCAACAGTTTGAGCAAGTTCAAACGCGTCAATTTAAAAAAAACAACAGTAAAAACTTACTAGCTAAAAAAAAACATGTCACAGTGACATAAATCACAACCACAAAAACATTGACAGCTACAACAACCTCAAAACAACATCAGCTAATAAACTAATAGAAATTAACAATAATCAACAACCGCAGAAGCAGCACAAAAACAACAACATCAACAACAAACAACAACAACAATAATAAAAATGATAGCCATAAGGACCGTAATATAAAAAAATTCAAAATAAAAACACAGCATAAACGTAAGCAACAAAAATATAATCAAAATAAACAGATGAAATAAAAAAAAATAAAAAAATTAATTAAAACGTCATAAAGCTCTATAACATCATCGTCACAGCGTCGACGTCACCATCTTCATCATTTCCAGCATCACGATTCAATCATTTTTCTTTTCAACCTTCCCCAATCAACTTTATCTTGGCGTCATTAACCATCCCATTAACATTATATCAATAAGATACTACCAACAATATATCATCAGGATGTCATTGTCCATATATCATTGTATCATCATTATATCAATTACATACTATCATTGTATCATCATTATATCAATTACATACTATCATCGCACCTTCATATCATTATGTTATCATCATCATACATCATACATCGCATTAGGATAATATTTTCGACTATTTTTGACCTATCCAAAAATGAAAAAAAAATGTTTGTTTGGTTTGATTTTTTAGCTTAATGACAGTGCAAGCATCGACTAATGGATCAAATAATGGTGTGCACGATGTTTGTTTTCAAATTATTTCCGTTGTCTCAATTTATTTTTTGCCTAATTGCATTTGTTGTTGTCTATGAAGCTGTGCTAATGTTAAATAACCGATACGAATATTGCTGATACATAAACTCATGTATCAGAGTTTTTAAAAAATTTGCCCAATGTCAAATTTAGTGGGATTGATTTAAACAGAAATATCAACTTTGTTAACTTTGAATAAATTCCTTCATAAACCTTACCTTTTACAAAAACATACAAACAGGCAAGCGTACAAACACAAAAACGAACAAAATTGAACTTAAAAGAAACATACTGAAAAATGTTCTTAATGACATCTGATGTTTCACTGTGTTTTTAAAAGTTGAGAAAGAGACGTTCAGACTGAACAATTTTTTTATTAAAGCAATTATTCACGTTGGCTTATTGAATTGTATTGAAATGTTGCAACTTGGCAGACAAAGTGCATCGTTAAGTGGCGTCTTCTATTTCTGCGTTCATGTTTTCTCTGTGTACGTGTTTTTGCATGCATGTATACGTCTGTGTGCCTGTGTATGTATGTATGTATGTATGCATGTGTGTATGTATGTATGTATGTATGTATGTATGTATGTATGTATGTATGTATGTATGTATGTATGTATGTATGTATGTATGTATGTATGTATGTATGTATGTATGTATAACCCATAATTGATTAGAATTATGTATGTATGTATGTATGTATGTATGTATGTATGCATGCATGCATGCATGCATGCATGCATGCATGCATGCATGTATGTATGTATGTATGTATGTATGTATGTATGTATGTATGTATGTATGTATGTATGTATGTATGTATGTATGTATGTATGTATGTATGTATGTATGTATGTATGTATGTATGTATGTATGTATGTATGTATGTATGTATGTATGTATGTATGTATGTATGTATGTATGTATGTATGTATGTATGTATGTATGTATGTATGTATGTATGTATGTATGTATGTATGTATGTATGTATGTATGTATGTATGTATGTATGTATGTATGTATGTATGTATGTATGTATGTATGTATGTATGTATGTATGTATGTATGTATGTATGTATGTATGTATGTATGTATGTATGTATGTATGTATGTAAGT